ATTTTGGTTGTGAAGCCACACGGTTTTTTGACCGCTGCATTGCACTGCAGAGAAGAGAAGATTTGTTTATTTAAATGACGAAAACTGTTTCCACATCGTCTGGTAAGATACCTTCATTTGTGTGTTTAAAGAAGAGAACGAACAGTGAAGAAATGGAAACGATAACATGGAAATAAATGTACCAAAAACAAACAATATATCTCTGAGTGATGTGTGAGCGCGTCGGCCAGGCGCTAAAACCAAAGAACAGAAAAGAGCTTAAGAAAGGTGGAAAGAAGGCTCTTTTAGTAAATATTACTTAATAATATACTGTAAGAGTAGCAGAGTAGTAGCAGAGTAGTCTTTTTTTAGTATCATAATGTAAAGGATAATCTTTAAATGTATCTGGGTAAGCTTTATGGATCAAGTCTAGTTTTTTTGTCCAAAATGTTCCTATTTTCTTGGGGTTTTTCTCTGGGTTTCTTTTCAAAATAAAAGACTGATGAAGCTTATTATACTTGTGCAGAATAAGTTTGGAGGTTTTCAAAACGTAATCATCTTTAAAGCCGTCTACAGTACCATCCTGGTCATATTTTCCACATATGTCGCCTTAAAATAATTTTTTTAAAGCTGTATTGCGGTATTAAGTCTCCTTTATTTCTGTCTGTCTTTTTGAATTATCTGGGTATTGTTTTTATGATCCCAAGTATTTTGGTAAATTTGGGTTTTCTCAAAATAAAAGGATTATTGATTTCTTTGCTCCTTCATTTTGAATATCTTTTCAAATGTATACATGTATTTTACTAGTTACTTTACAAAGGAGATGTTTGCAAAAACCTTACAAGATGTAATCAAACATGAGGTGTTGTTCTAAATTAACCCTAAATCTAGCCAAAAGTTGAAAGGCTTAGTTGTTAAAAAGTTGTTATTTGGCATTTAGAAACATTTAACTAATATCTCTAATGATTTTGAGCTTTTTGAGTAAAAAATCAATAATCAGGGTCCACACATGGAGACGTCTTTGTATAGTATGATTGACGATGATTATGTGTGTGTGTTGCTACAGGTGATCGGAGGTCGCCTCCGTCTGGTGTACGAGGAGTGTGACGACGGCTCTGACGACTTCTGGTGTCACATGTACAGTCCTCTGATCCACAGCATTGGCTGGTCGCGCTCCATCGGACACAGATTCAAACGATCCGGTGGGTTCCAACTCATTTAATTATATAAATAAAGGACTGCATGACGGCATCACAAAGAACTTCACAATAAGGAAATACACACACAGAATGAATATAAAAACAGGGAGAAAACTCAATAATAAATCAATAAAATATAAATAAAAAATGTGTGTTAAAAATAATCATAGATCAGACTCACTGATGTGTGCAGATGTCACCAGACTGCATTTAGGAAATGTTCAATTTAAGCAGGCAGACTGAAGATGAAACTGTTTTTTCCAGATGTGTCGAAGAAGCTGAATGTTCAGTTGGACGCTCCTGGACAGGTCTTTGCTAAGGTAACGTTATGAATCTATGATTTAGGATATATTTCACTGTGTGTGTGCAGTTAGTAGTTGTTCTGACATTCTACTAAATGTGTGCCGTGTGCAGTCCAACGGACAAAATGCTTGGAAAAATAATAATAATAATATGAGTTTGATGAGTGTGTAATGTATCTGCAGGTGAAGGAGGTGGATCAAAGCGGCTTCTGGTTTGAAGACACGATGAAACTAGAAGCCATCGACCCTCTGAACCTGTCCGCCATCTGCGTGGCCACAGTGAGGAAGGTCGGGAGAAGCTAATGTCCCTGAAAAATCACCTGATTAATCACCTGAATAAACCCTGATAGTTAATCATCTGATTGAATCCACTTGATTAACAGATACAACTAAATCACCTGATTAATCACCTAAAATATTAAGATGAATACAACAAACACTAGATGAATCATCTGATATGAAATAACCTGATTAATCACCTGATAGTAAGCCTGTCCTCTTCCTCAGGTGCTGGCAGACGGGTATCTGATGATCGGGATCGACGGCTCCGAGGCGGCTGACGGGTCGGACTGGTTCTGTTATCACTCCATGTCTCCATCCATCTTCCCTGCTGGGTTCTGTGAGATCAACAACATCGAGCTGACGCCCCCCAGAGGTATTTATTGGTTATTGTGTCATGTTTATGACTCCATAAATACATACAATACAATTCCTCCATACAGTGAAGGAAGTATAAGTATTTGATCCCTTGCAGATTTTGTAAGTTTACCCACTTACAAAGAAATCAACGGTCTTTAATTGTAATGGTAGGTTTATATAAACAGTGAGAGTAAATCCAGAAATTGACATCATATAAAAGATAAACATTGATTTGCATTAAACTGTGGGAAATAAGTATTTGATCCCTTTTCAAAACATGCCTTAGTACTCGGTGGAGAAACCCTTGTTGGACACACAGAGGTCAGACGCTTCTTGTAGCTGGTCTCCAGGAGTGGAGTGCACCAGCTGGGCGTAAGCTGGGCGTAACTATACGTCCGACGTAGAAACAAAGGTTAAGACCAAACTAAAGTTATGACTAGTGCACCACTTAGACTTAAGCCCTGTATGGGTTGCGCCCGGGTGTAACTTTTACGCCTAGTATGGAGCAGGCGTAAATCGGAAAGACAGACTAGTATCCATAGTAACGCAAAACAGGCAAGAAGGATATTAACGATGGCAGGGCGTCTTGTTTACAGGTTTAACAATGAAAGGGCATTAAGAAGAGAAAGAGTCGTCCGTGATCGAACAAACCCACTGGACATCTATTCAGACAGTGAACTGATAGAGAGGTTTCGTTTCGGCAGACAAGCTCTTTTTGATTTAATCGAGGAGATCTCCCCTCAACTCCAGCATGGATCAGACCGAAACTCTGCGCTCTCCCCAACCTTGCAGGTGCTGATTGCGCTCAGATTCTACGCGAACGGGGCCTTTCAAAATACTGTGGGAGACATGATTAATGTTCATCGCACAACTGCATGTCGGGCTATAAGACAAGTTTCATTGGCCCTCCAGCACCGCCTTAGGAACTATATTCACCTACCCACACAAGAAGAAGCAGAGAAATCCAGGCAAGATATTTTGTTAAAATCAGGTATACCTGGTATTGTCGGATGCATCGACGGTACTCATGTTCGAATTCAGGCCCCCTCTGAACATGAGTATTTGTATGTTAATAGAAAGGGTTACCATTCTATAAATGTTCAAATTGTGTGCAACTCGGACATGGGCATTGTCGACCTCGTTGCAAGATGGCCTGGGTCGACCCATGATGCTCGTATCCTGAGAG